TAATTTGAGTTAGTTTTTAACTAAAAAAAAAGTAAACAATAATTTTCCAAATTGAGACAATGATTTGATTTCTTTTAACTTTAAATTGGTCACAAGTTGCTTTTTTGTGTGTAATAATAGTAAATGTAAACTTTAATGGTTATAATGTTGAGCTAGTTTCAATTCTAGAGAATGATATCGAGCTTTTACATCAAAAAGAATAATCTCAACGCATGCGATGATTTTTTTTTTAATTTAAAAATATTCACATACTTGAATTGAAATAAAAGTTTTTTGCAACATTATTAAAAATCTAATAGAATCACCTTCTTTGTTACATATGTATTTAAATTTGTTCGTTAATAGCCAAAAACGTGTTTATTTTGTACTCAATGTTAAAGAGTGCTTTTATCAACAAATTTCAGTAGATAAAATAGTCTTTTATTGTCTAGTGAAATAATGTAATTTTTATCTACTGTTTATATTCATGAAATTCTGGTAGGTGAGTACAAAATAAAACGAAATATTATACACGACGATAAAGATTGTTTATCCACTCGTGATTTCGTCACTCGTAAACTTAACCTTTTCACTCGTAGATAAACAATTTCTTTATCGCCTTATATACAAACTGTAATTTTTTTTTCAATTTTGAGTACAGCCCTGTGTAATCTGCATCTTTATTGTTTTTTTACAAAACTTATTAAAATTTTCCGTACAGGTTGAATAGATAAGTAAAGTCACGTTTCGTAATTTTTTTAGTACTGAAAAAATTCACAATAATTTTGCAAATTGAAACATTGTTTAGCCTTCTACAACTTGCAATTACTTTAAAAACAGTTTCAAAACTGAAAAAACTGAAAAACTGTTTTTGTATGAGTTTCAATAAATTTAATCTCTATACTTTTAACTTTAAATTTATCATAAGCTGATTTTGTGTGGGTAATAATAGTAAATGCAAACTTTGAAGGTTTTAATGTTAAGCCAGTTTTAATTCTAGAGAATGATATCCGAGCTTTTGCATCAAAAAGAATAATCTCTAGGCAAACAATTTTTTTTATTTNATTTGCATACTCTTTCAACTTCACTTAATTAAAATTAAAAAAAAAATTGCAACATTATTAAAAACCTAATAAAACCACCTCTTTTATAAATATGTATTAAATTTAAAATTTGGTCATTACTAGACAAAAACTTGTGATGTAAACAAGTTTTATCACTATTTATTTTATAACAAACTGTAACATTAAATTTTTTCAGTTTTTAGTTCAGCCTTGTGTAATCTGTATTTTTATTGTTTTTCACAAAGCTTCCGTATTGGCTAAAACGACAGGTAAAGTTACGTTTCGTAATTTTTTTTATTTTTTAACTGTCTAAAAATAAAAATTTTGCAAATTGAAACGTTGTAAACGTTCTACAACTTTCTCGTATAAAATGTAATTAAAATTATTATTGTATTTATTATATAACAAAAAAATATATTAATTTTCAGCATTTATTTTAGAAGCAGTAAAATGATTATAATCTGAAAAACTGTTTGTATGAACTTCAATAAATTTAATTTCAAAACTTTTAACTTTAAATTTATCATAAGCTGCTTTTTCGTGGGTAATAATAGTAAATGCAGGTTTTAATTTGGAGCTATTTTAAATGGGAAATAATTCTAGCTTTTGCATCGAAAAGGATAATCACTAAAAACAAGTCGATTTTGCTATGTACTATTTTTTGAGTATTTAAAAAAATATTTTTTGCAAGATATTTGTTAAAAAATCTAACATAATCACCACCTATGTTACATGTATTTGAAATTTGTACGCAAATAAACAAAAACTTGTGATAAAACTTACTTTTGTAACAACCTGTAAAATTTTACGTTTTTTTCAGTTTAAGCCTTGTGTAATCTGCAATTTTTGTGTTTGTCACAAAATTTATTAAAGTTTTTGTATTGACCGAGTTTAATTTGATAATTCATTGTATATATTGCAAACTAATTAAAATATTAATTATAACAAATTGAGTATGAAAATAACTTGTCAAAGTAAAATAGCGTTTGGCTTTTATTTTATTGGTTTAATCTAGTTTAGCCAGTAACATTTTAATTGAAGTTTTTGTTATTTCGAATTGGTAGCATTTGAATTTTTCAACTTGATGTAGTAGTTTGTCGCCGAGTTAATATGAGTCTCTCGCAAAGTCTCTCTCGTCAAGTTTAGCTTTGTTCCAGTACGAAATTCTCTATTTTCTCAGGGCAAAAGAGTTTGAGAATAATGCTTTGACACGATTATGCATTAGCACGACTTTTGTTTGCAGTAAATCCAGAAAGCGTATCCCTAATTCAGTAGTATACGATCCTTATGAAAGTCCCAGTTATCTAAGACAGACCTCGTAGTAAGTTGTGAAGAGACATTCATCAAGTTTTAATCCGCAACCTCACTCGTTCCAATGATCTTCTATCTTTACGCCTCACGAGATCCGCATCTCATGCAATCTACCAACACTAAATCATCAAATGAACTATGAACATTCCCGACTCTGATAAGGATGTGACTCGTTACCGGTAATTGCAATTGCAGGCGCATTGCTGTGAAATTACTCAAGGAATCGCAAGAATTTGATTAATACACTCTACTCTATTATCTTCGATAAATCTCGGGTGCAACGAGACAATGACATTTTTACCGCTCCTCGCGACGATTATTTCGAGAGAAACTATAAATCAGTTGAAACGGACACAAGAAATTCCACGGTTTATGACGTAAAGTGCCACTTTGAATTAAGAATAAACAGAAACTTTGGACCGAGTCCAGAACGCGTCAACTATCGATTCTCCCAGATTGGGTACTTTACACTTTTGATTAAAAAAATCTTTGATCCAAAACTCGGTCCGTTGAAGCAATTTATCATTTTTCGATGGAGCGTAACAAGGAAATAAAAGATACTCTATATTAAATTCTGTCCGTGATGTATAATTTTTCTTTTACTTTACAATGGAGTTTTCTATTGTGGAAAATTTTAAAATAGCTCGCTTTCCGTCGAGCTAATATCAAAATATGGCTCTTTCGAGCGCAACTTACGAAAATTGTAAGAACTCAATCGAATATAGAGTGGACCTCGTAATAGGTTTTTAATTGAAATTGTTGCGTTGCCAATTTGGACATTAATTGAACTTCCTGCTTCCATAAAAGCAATTACTTTGAAAAAGAAATTAAAATAAAATGCTTTAGAGATATTTAATTAAGCGCACTTTTGTCCAAAATGAAACAATCAAGCAAATAGATTTTTGCAGAAAATTCAAAAACTAATTACAATTCAATTTTCTTACACCTACCGGCACTTCGATAAATCATCAAATTCGTGGCAGCTTTTTTGGCTTGCGTTTCACAAATGCGCGTTTTTGCAATTAATCAAAGTCAAAAAACCACCGAAAAATCAGGGTAAAAATTCGAAATTGTTTTTGTTTACGTCGCTGTTAATAAAAACGTCGTGGTCGGGAGGTGGTTAATGGAGATAGGCGTCGGTTTCGTCTTATTAGAAAAGTTGGGGGATTTGCTGTACGAGTCTTAATTACATGGAAGCTTTCAATCGAAGCATAAATATTGATTAGGAGAGGATAGGAAGAGTGCATAAAATGGTAACAGAGTTGAACCGATGGCCTAAATGACATGTATTATTAATGAGACGCACGTTTTAAAAGGCACAAAGAGCTTTCGGCTATGCTCTGTTTACGAAATCATAAAATCACGCTCGGGATTCTGAATTGGTTTTAAAATTTCATGATAAGTAAATATTTAGAATAGCTTAATTCGGCACACGGACAAATTGAAAAGTCTCCTAATCAACCGCATTGAAAAATATATACACCAAAAACAAACCAACTTTTGAAAAATAAACAAATTTAATATTCATAGCCCGGCCCATCCACAATTTTTAACAAATTTTACTCAAAATTTTATCACGAATGTCGCAGATTTTTAATGTGTAATTAATTGTAAAAAACATTTTATAAATCGATTATCACAGCTTAAAAACAATTATAACGGATAAATTTTCTTTTTCTTTTTTATTTTAAGGTATGTAATGTTTTTAAAATTAAAGGAAATTTTCTTAAGTTTCTCACCATGTTATTTGACAGTACTTTTTTTAATTCTTTTATTCTTAAATAGACAAATTTACCAATATCTTATCCATTGTAACAAATAACGAATTTTTCTTGCCCGGCGCATCCACCATTTTTAACACATAAATTAATGTAAATTATTTGGTGTTTTTTATTTCTTATTTAAACTAAGTTTGTGTCTTACAAAATTTTACCACGAGTATCAAATTATGCAGGGTGTCCCACGAGTTATAATGAGCCTGAAAAAAATTTTGAAGCAACCAACATTACATTTTAAAGGTGACGAAGATATTAAAATATTTCGTTACACCTTTAGTGGTGTAAAATTTGTGTGTATTATTTAACTCATTTAAGGTCAAATAAGGTAATTTAAAAAAATTAATTTATATGGATTATTCCGTGTTTTTATTTTTTACGCACAACAAGTTATTTCTAGTGTGTATGTTTAAATTGCGATAAATAATTGAGATAAATTTCAATTATAATAAAGAGAAGGTTTCTCAGTATGTTATTTTGTCTTTTAATTAAATATTTATTACTTGAATTTCTAACTAATTATGTTTTAAATGAAATCTGTTGTGACTTGGAGAGTCAGAAAAGATGCCACTTGTGAGGATTTATTTCTCTGGAAACAACTTTCCAAAACTTATATTACTGAGTCCAATACTAATATTAAGTGTCTTATTTACTAGACAACCATGTTCTTTTTCCACGAAATTTCCTTCGCTCGGCATTTTCTCCATCTGTGATTAATTTCGCAGCGCTGCGACCATTCACCTAATAAGACATATCAAAGTTTGTTGGCAAGAAAATGAATCCTCTCGACTTTGCTTCCATTCGAGCGCTCCCTCGCCGATTCAGATGCAAAGTAAATTATGGCAAAACTAAGACTCAACTTCCTGTGCAGGTTCTGGGACATTCCGAGCCCTTGGTGGCAAGCCAGCACCGTTCTAGTGGGAACCGGAAGTGCGTTGAGTTTACTCATCGCCGTGACGGCGACGGCGGCGTGCTGTATAACTTACGTGGTTCATTCGGGGACGGCGAGGGTCGCCGGATCTTTACAACTAACGGCAGGTGAGCACACAATTCACAAATAATTTTATTTACAAACTTATACAGGGTGTCCAAACGAATTGGTAAAGTCCATTATGTACCTTTAAATAAAAGAATTTTAGAAAATTATATAGGAAATTGATAAATACTAATTTAGTATACGCCTAAAGTTATTTTCAACTATACAGCGTGTACTAAAAATAAGTTACAATACAAACTTGAGTTTTTTTAAATGAAACACCTTATGTTTCTTGGCATTCTTGGATGTAGCTTTTAATTTGATTAATTTTAAGCTAAACTTCTATAGTCGATTTTGCTTAGATTTTCAAATAAGTTGGTTTTCTTGACAAAAACCTTTGTTTTTTAATGTATTACATAAAAAGTTAAAACAGCTAGAATTTTTTTATCACTGTAAAGAGGAAGGTACTAACTTTAAGACTATATGTATTGCAGTCAAAAAGTTAAAAAATGTAAAGGTTTGTTAAAAGTTAAATAATTTACAGAATTTAAATAAAACACCTTATTTTTTATTTTTGAATCCAATAGACTGATAAACCTAAAATAACCCCTTTCATTGACTACTTCGATGCACAGTAATATGAGTACATTTACATTACATAAAATGAGTATATGTAATAACCCGACTTTTTCAGAATTGTCATTTTTGATAGATATGTCCCTAAAAAACAATTGGATGTTTAAAGTCGGATTCACACAACTCAATTTTTACAAATTTACACAGAGAAGTGACCACTATGAATTGACCGCGACTTTAGTAAGTGATATTTCCTTCTTACATCTCTTGTGCAAATGTGCACTTTTTGGCTATTGAATTAATGATTAATATTTTTAATGTTTATTGTTAAATATCTTTTTAATAATTAATTATTGTAGGCACTATTTTTGGAAAGATAATTTAATAATTAATCTCTTTGATACCGAAGTAAAAAATATGGTGTTGTATTAAATTTTTTAAGTTATTTAATTTTTACCAAACTTCTTAATTTTTTTATTTGTACAGATGCAACACACTGAAAAATTGTTACACTCTTAGAGTTTGTAGAGTTGTACAAAAAAATGTATGTCTTAGTTTTTGTGTAATAATTTTTTTAAAAGAGGGTTTTCGCCAAAAAAAACAACTTATTTGAAAAACTAAGCAAAATCAACCAATAAAAATTTAGCTTAAAAACATTGTTATAAAAAGCTACATCCAGAAATGCTAAGGAACTTATAGGGTTTTATTTAAAAAAAATCTAAATTTATGATGTAATTTATTTTTGAGACACGCTGTTTAGTTGAAAATAATTTAAGGCGATGTACTAGTTTAGTATTTAACAATTTCCTATATAAATTTTTAATACTTTTAACATTTGAACGTCAATAATGGTTTTACAAACTGCTGAAACATCATGTATGCAATGTTGACGTTTGTAACGGTGACGGTTGTTGGAAAGTGTCTCATTACTGACCTTATATTATCTACCTTCAACTTTTTATTACCTATTTCTATTATTACCCTCGTTTTCTTGTCCCACTTTTTCACAATTAAAAGCATGAATTAGTAGATAAGTAGACTTAATGAGCAAAAACTACCACACACATTTAGCACAAAACCGCGTCACTACATTGTTTGTAATATATGTTACTTGACGACGAAGACATAAAACTAACCTCAAAGCAAGTGTCTCGGAAAACTTCTCTCGACAGAAATAAAACACCTTCCACCTCTGTATGTAATATACTATTAACTGCTCACAAGGGATACACATGAGCTCCGTTCGCTTATAACTGATTGAATTGCAAATGAAGAGCGGTCAAATTGTCGAAATGTTTAATTAAAAGTTACGCTTTATGAGCGTTTACAGAAGTTTACAGAAGTGGAACAGATTTGGAAAATGGAAAATGAAAGTCAAAGCACAATTTTTTAATTATGAAAATTATCGAAAAAGGAGAGAATTTGTGGTTGATTTTCTCTCTGATAAGCAAGAGAGTTGTAGAGTCCAATTCAAAGTGTAAAAGTCGCCGATAAATTCCCGACATGTGGCAACTCGAATTTAAATAATTTATTGAGGGTAACTTTTACCATTACCACATGAATAACTATCTCTATAAATTTGGAGGGGTCATTAAGGCGATTTTTCTCTTTTCTCAAGTCCAAGTACTTGAAAGACTTTTATGTGTCTGATTCTGGTTTTGTTAGTTTTGAAATTAAAACATTTGCGAATTAATTTTGCCCTGGTTTCGTCTGTGCATTCATCCGTCTAAAGTTTGAAAATCTCGTCTGCGTTTCCGCTTCCGCATCGAATGCAACAAGTTCGAGCGTTTTAATGAGACGATCGAGCTCTTGTGATACCATCAAGGGACAACATAAATATAATTTCGTCCCTTTTTCTGTCCCGTATTTTTATGATGGCAGATTAAATAGCACGACTTTTATCCGGTGACCCTCGTGACAGTTCATTGAGTTTCAGTATACCCTTCTAGTGCGCTTTTATTCCTCGAGAGATTTCAGCTTTTGTTGTACATATAGAGGTCTCAGGACATGAAGGAATTTATAGAGTGAAACCGACAGACATAATCCACTCACTTTATTAAACAGTACATGCTAATAGTGTAATATGCCGGCGAAAGCTTCTTGTTGGGTTATGTCTCGACGTCCGACCAGTCTTACATCGAGAACATTTACATATTCGCCACGCCAAGGGTGGACTTTGGGGAAATTAAATTTACATGGAAATTGCCAACAATTTTCTTTAATAATAATTTCATTTGACTTCGGAAGGATCCTTCACCCGACAGGGGCGCAATTGAATTAATTGACAAAATTTTAGACAAAAAACAACATTGTTCTTGCAAAAAAAGTAAGAAGAAACAAGATTCTATTACAATTGCACTAAGAAAGTAGTGAATAAATAAAATAATAAGTAATAAAATAATATTTTTAGAGGCTTTACAATGTAAATGCTTCCTGTTATTTTTGTTATCAAATAAACATCTCATGTCTGTATAATCATGAGTAGCAAGCTTAAAAAAAGCGGTAGCAGCAAAGTTTTAAGTTTAGAAGATTCTTTTTTTTTAAAACTCCACCTTAAAGAGGACAATGTTTTTGCTTTTGCTTAAGAGCAGTGGTAAGATATTTATAAAAGACTGTTTTTATTTACTATTTTTGTACAAAGGCAATAAAATATAGACTTTTGCTGTTATTTTATAGATTGTTAGATCTTCTTGGTGTTGAATGAATAACACTCGTTTTCTTTTTTATTATGACGCGTGTTTCTACCCCAAGGTCGACTCAGACTTTTAGAAAAAATGTGTTTTGAAAAGGATTTTCTTAAAAGCAATAGAAAATTATTTATAGAAATCTGTTTATAAATCTGTACCTCAGAGCCTAAGTCCAAAATGCTTAATATTCAAAAATAATTTAAAACAAAAAATGTCAATTAGAAACCTGTCACAATTTTAGGTAACATTTCAGAATGGTTATAATGTTCTAAAACATTTTGTTGTAAGCGGATCTAGTAGATTAACAAAGAGATGTTTGATTTTGTATTATTTATAGTTTATAAAAAGCACTTAATACTTTAGCACCCTAAACATTAATTTTTATTAAATATGCAAAAAAGCTAAAATAACTTAAGTTTAAGGTGTAAATTATTGTTCAATATATTTAACTTACTAGTAAAATGAAATTTTTTAACAATATATTTATTAACTGAAAAAGTTAATTGTCTTCCAGAAAATCTTCAGCATTTTGAATAAAAAAAATTTATGTAAGATGTAGTCCTGATATTCCTCTGGTTATTGTATTTTGCTTTACTGATAGGTTTTCGTTTATTTCTAAGTTGAAGGAGTAGTTATGACAAATTTAAAGGTTTGTTTGGTTTTCTTCTTAAATTGAATTTACAATTTTTTGTGAAATTTGTATTAAAATTTCATTTTCCTATGTCTGTTAATTAAACCTAAAAAAATCGTATAATTTATAAATAAATTAGCTTTCATCTTGAAGCACAAGAAATAAACGCTACCAAAGTCCAAAAAGTCTTCTAATTTGTGTTCTACATGTATTTGTACATATCTGGAATTTTGTTTACGGAAATTTTCTTTTCTATGATTATTCCGGTTGTCAAAGATTTTTTGAGAGCTTCACGTAAAAATCCGGTACAAATTTTTTGCCATGAAAAACTTGTTTTCCAGAAATCCGTAAAAATTTGTTGGCACTGTTCTATTATTAACGATTTGCACTATTTTATTCCGACTCAAATTACTACACGGTGATTTTATGTTTTTTGCTTCCACAATATATTTTTTTAATTAGATACAATTCACTGCTCTTTGGACTTAATACTTTGTCGCTCTAACATTACATTTCAACATCTGTTGTTTTGTAAATTAAGGCCAATTGCAAGATTTTATGCATTGGTTCAATTGGTTGAAATAGAAGTAATCACTTTTAACTATTATTTATTTTTTGAAAAAAATGGACTTAGGCTGTTGTCGCTCTCAGGTATAGAAATATCTATTCTGCACTAATTAAAAAAAAATAATGATATTAAAAAAATGAGAAAAGTAAACCCTATTATAAAATGGTAAGTATTTCATTATTAAAAAAGAAAAAAAAAACGACAAAAAACAACGATAAAAAACAGGCAACAGTACAAATCGAGATAATTTCAGTTCAAGCTTAAAGAAGTGGTCGAGTTAAAAACAAAATTGTAGAAACTATTCAAAATATGTAGCGGTAGACGAAAGTTGAGAAAATTATACAGAATACACTCCCTAGACAAAAGTAAACAAAAATTCGAACAACAAAATTTGTATTTACTTCAACAAAAATGTTGTAAAATACCAAACTGCATAAAACAATTAGAGAACTAAAAACTAGTCAAGAAAATTTTTAAAAGGTTTATCTAAGTCTAGACTCAAAACAAAACAAAAATAGAAAAAAACTTAGAAAGGATTTAGAAACGTCAGCAAAACAATTAAATATGTAATAAAATATTTCCTTCCAGCAGGGAATAAAG